CAGGTCATCAGTCTCTTGAGGACAAACAGCCAGCAAGCAACCAGCCTTTGTTCTGTTCCTTTTCCCCCTCCCTCCTCTTCTGGCGCAATAGCTTTAGCAGACAGATAAAATGCTAACAAAACACTGATGTGTTTTAACATATGTGACAATGGTTCCTCTCACCTAGCCCTAACAGGTAGGGAAGAAGGGTTCTATGGATAGTGCAGAAATGGAAGGAGCCAAAGGCAGTATATTGCCAGTGAGAATCTCCCCAGCTCTCCATGGGGAGGCTCAGGAGGCCACAGCTTTTCCAAGTAGTAATAATTTGCATGTAGTACCCCATGCACCTAGATATCTCTCAGGAGCAGAGGATCAGTGGCTGAACGCTGGCATAAAACTCATGGAACTGGTGAGAGTTCGAGCACCATAAATATGCAGATGCCTGGTGCTTGAAGAGAGTGATATGCCATGCCTCCATTCCTTTTTTTTTTTTAATAACACTGAGTGCCATTTTTGAAGGCAGATGTCTGGTTTCTAAAAGACTGCCTGCAGGAGCTCAGCCTGAGGCAGGATGCAGCTGATCACCTGCTTTCAGCAGGGCAATAGCTTATGCTCCTGCTAAATTTCTGTAGGCAGTGTAGAGCAGCCTGCTTTGACAGACACCATGGAGGTCCAGGACCATTGTCCTTATTGAAACACCTCCCCTTCACTTTACTTTCTCTAAAAGTAAAATAAAAACCTCATAGAATTCAGTGGTGTTTCTCTAGTTTTATGTCAACATCACCAATTCCAAGTCTGGCACACTGCCCTTTCACTGTTATGTTTTTTATGATGATTAAGCACATGTATTTTTAAGGTGAGGCTCTCTATTGTCTCCCCTATGATTTCCAATATTGGCTAGCTTAAGTCTTCTTGTATGTCCAGCTAATCATCTCAAAGGATAAATTACCAAGGAAGAAAGAATTGATGAAGGAATGTACAGCCCAAATCAACTTGAGTAGACAGAGTTTAAAAAGAGAGTAATGGAGAAGAAACTTCTTCACAAACAAAACCAATGAGGTGATGAAGGCTGTCATCATCTGGGGCTGTTCCCACAGGAGATTTCTTTAATTCTCCTCCTGATACATCAGTATCTTAAAAAAGAGAAAACACTTCTATCCTGGCTCACTGTGTTCAAATCAGGTTAGCTCAGCTGTGGTTTGGAGATTTGTGAATTTCTTTGGCATTTGTATGGGATACAGTTAGCCCAGGATAAAGACATCTAATACAGAAGAGATGACCTTCTGCTAAACCATAACACATTTGCAATTCCCTATTGTAGAGCTCTGTTAGCCTTTTACTTGTACTTTTTAGCCTTGTACTATATAATTTTGACTGTGCAGATTTTTAAATCTTTATTGCTAATAAAAAGATAGGAATTTCCACTGAAACCACTCTGACTGTGTGTTCAGAATCTTTTGTCTAGTGGCCTTTGAAGCACCACTACCACCTGTAAAAGTTCACACTGCTTTGGGGTTCTTGGACTTGAGGTTTTCCACCCTGTTTCTGGTTTGGGTTATTTGGGGTTTTTTTGCTAAAGGTTGTAGGAAATTGATTAAAGCCAGCACTATTTAATATCTTTATCAATGATTTGAATGATGGGATTGAGTGCACCTTTAGTAAGACAGTAAGCTGGGCAGGAGTGTTGATCTGCTGGAGGGTAAGAAGGCTTTGCAGAGGGATCTGGACAGATCTGAGGCCTTTTGTGAGAGGTTCAACAAGGCCGAGTGCTGAGTCCTGCACTTAGGTCACAACAACACCCTGCAGTGCTACAGGCCTGGGGCAGAGTGGCTGGAAACCTGCCTGGTGGAAAAGGGCCTGGGGCTGCTGGTGGACAGCAGCTGAACATGAACCAATGTGTGCCTGGTGAACAAGCAGGCCCATGGCATCCTGGCCTGCATCAGCAATTGTGTGGCCAGCAGGGCCAGGGCAGGGATTGTCCCCCTGTGCTCGGCACTGGTGAGGGCACACATCGAATCCTGTGATCAGTTCTGGGCTTTTCACTTCAAGAAAGACCCTGAGGGGCTGGAGGGTGTCTGGAGGAGGGCAGTGAGACTGGTGAAGCGTCTGGAGCACAAGTCTCCTGTGGGGAACAGCTGAGGAAGCTGGAGATATTTAGCCTGGAGAAAAAGAGGCTCAGGGTGACCTTATCACTCTCTCCAACTGCCTGAAAGGAAGGTGTAGTGAGATGGAGATTGATCTCTTCTTCCAGGCAGGCAGGAACAGAACAAGAGGAAATGACCTTAAGCTGTGCCAGGGGAGGTTCCATTTGGATATCAGGAAGAATTTTTTCACTCAAAGGGTGGTTAAGCATTGGAATGATCTGTTCAGGGAATTGGTGGAGTCACCACTCCTGAAAGTGTTCAGGGAATGACTGGATGTGGCTCTTAGTGATAAGGTTTAGGTGGCAGGGTGGAGTTCAGTCAAAGGTTGGACTTGATGATCTTACAGGTCTATTCTAACCTTAATGATTCTATGATTCTAAATGCAGTTTCTTCTTAGCTCTCAGAGGGAACAAAAGTTCTGTCTTATAAACTATCTTGATAAAGAATTCTGAGCACCTAAATTGTCAAATTTTCTTCCTTAGTACTTCTCGTTATCAGATGTGGACTGAATAGTTCCCACAGTTACATTTTACTCACATAAGGTTCTCATTCGACACTAGTCATATATTTATATTAATGCAATCTTGCTGTGTGACTTTGTGTATCTTTGCATTTTGAAGTCTTCAAATGAAATAGAAAAAAAATTGCATTCACACACTTTATTAGCACAGTAATCAGATTTTCAGAGCTTCACAATAACAGGAGAAGCTTGAAAAGTAATTAAGAGATTCTCAACACAGCAGGAGTTTTTGTTAAAGGAGAAAACTAATTCAGACTGTAGTTTGTAGATACAAGAGAAGCTGGGGCTGGAGTCCAAGAGACTCCTAATCTTCAAGAAAAGTAGCTGCTCTGAAAGCCGTGGGGAGGGAGAGGTCATTCATATACTTTCGCTTTCCTTTAAAAGAAAGCAAACCATTAGGAGCTTATCTAACAATTAAAACATCTGCTTCACAAAGGAGAAGCATGTCAGCTTGCATTGCCTTGATTGAAAGGATGCATTTTATTATACAAGAACTTGGAAATATAAAAAGTACTACATGAATTTGTGTTTGTAAGGAACAAAGTTGATTCCAAAGATTAATAACAGACTGTACATATGCCTTTGAGGAAGCACCCAGCCACATGAATGACTGTTTCCAAATGCACATTTATGTAGATGTAACCAGATCCTGTAAGTAATGTGTGTGCAAATCAAACTGGAGATTTTGGTGATCAGCTTTGATATTATCATAATGTTCTGGCATTTTCAAAACTGTGATTCTTCTAAACTTCGTTTTCCCTGATGTAGATATAGATGTAATGAATGGCAACAAGTAACTCATTTGTAAATCTTTGCTATCTCCTACTATTTCATGTCACCCTTGTTACTGCTTTCCCTATCTCATCTGCCCTTTTCTGTGGCTAGCTGACACCTCTCCCACTGCTTTGGTTCTGCAGTGCAGACACAGCCTTCTTTAATGCTTTTCAGCAGCTGTGCTTGACTTCAGGCTTTTATTTTCTAAGAAAGTGGGAATTATGAAAAACTGCTTTAATAGAAAAAAAAAATGGTGCTGCCTCTTGTGCTAAATAATGTACTGATACAATTCATAATGTGGTTTCATTTCTTTAAATGTAATAATTACCTTTTAAAATGTGCATGTGGCTTAATCTTTTTATGGCGTATGATAATGGAGGAGCTTGATATGACTCACAAGTGATGATAAGGATGTACATTGTAGATTATTGCTCTATCACCATGCATTTGAAGAGAGCTCCCTCATGGCAGTAAAATAATAATAGGACTGATTGCTTTGTCCTAAACCCCCCTGGAATGCACCACTCTGGGTTATTTTAGGATGTAATACATAGATTTGTTCTCCTGTTGGCTTCTCTTAGGTGATAAGGACATTCAGCTGACCTGTGGAAAGCACAGTGCTCAGCAGTTTGTCTAGGTCTCCTTATCCATATCAGAATCCTCTCACCCAAAAGCTGTGCCTTGGCTCTTACTTTCCCATGCTCTCTAGGGCTGGAGGGAAGGAGAAACACATGGAAAAAGGCAGAAAATTGAAATACATCCTAAGAGGTCAGTGGGAAACCAGTGTGCACCCACTTCCTGCTTTTGTCCCTTCCCATCTCTCTCTACTTTCAGAGAAAAGTGCTCTTCAGGCACATGGCATTTCCTACAGGAATGAGTGTGTATGAGCCCACTCCATTGGAATTTTCTGGACTGAAATATCTAGATTTGAGGGAGTTTCTTATACTGACCAAGTGCCATGTCATTTTTAACCTGCAATAGCCAAGAAATCTGTATTGAGGAAGTGAATTTTAAAATGCTAATAGAAACTGAAGAACAGGGAATGATTTTGTCAGTAACTTTTATTTTAAAAGTGGCACAAGTGAGACAGTGGCTCTTGCCAAACCTCTTTCAGGAGACACTTATTGCAGATGCTGACCCACAGTAGGAATCAGTCATGAAGACTGGGACAGAAAGTATGACCCAATGTGATTCAGCACAGTATTTGCATGTTAATCCTCTTAATATCCATTTCAATTACCACTATAAACCTGTACCCAGCCCATCTTTGTCTCAGCCTTCTAGTTTCCTTAGTCTAGTGATGTCTGTTTGAGTTGCAAATCAGAAAATAAATATTTTTGCCACCTGAATTTTACAGGGCACTCACTTAATCCAGGTTTGACACATTGAAACTTTTCAAGCCAGAACCACAAATTGATGGAAAATACAAAAAGTGAGGATATGCAGTAGCATAACCATACTTTGTCCCACAGGCAATGATGAAATGATATGTGTCCTTTTCTAGGAGGTGTGAAAAGGAACTCCAACTCTCATCGCTACTTCTTTTCCTCTCCTGCCTACAGGAATTCCTGCCATGCTGCTCTGTTGCTGAGCTGAGTTTCCTGCAGCCCCAAAAGAAGATTTCTGCTGGTAATACTCCAGAGGCAAGCTAGCAGTCTGCATATGAATATTTTCAGTGATGTGGAATGCTCTCCTGAAATCATCCTATTCAGATGTTCTGAGACAATGGGAAGAATCTCAGATTTATGTAAACTATGTAAAAATTTTTGAAAAAGCGAATCCCGTGGTTTCAAAATTCTTAGCAAAAGCACTCACCCCTCAATGTTGGGCTTTTCAAGCCAAAGTAGTGATTTTTGCCTCACTATTTTTGAATGCTTGTGGGTAGCAAGTTGCACCATTACTGCTGCTGCTGCCTTCGGCCTGTTTAGGAGGATTTGGGTTTAAGGTTAAATCAAAGTTTGTAGACAAAAATCTGTTTCTTCTCCTGTGGTGTCTTTCACTTAGCTCTGGTTCTCATTTGTTTAAGGGAACCCCTTATTGCTGAGGTGATTTGGGGTGAATCCTCACTAAAAGCTGTTTTACATGACAGAGAGAAGTGCTGGGAAGAGGTCAGGGTTTCATTGACATAATCCTACCTCAGGGTTTGGAAAAATTTACCTTTGCTGGAGTTCAGTTGATATCCATGACTTTGATTTGAGGAGGTTGCTATTCCAACACAGTGGTTCACCAAAATAAAAAATCTATGAAAATTTGGAACTCATTCCAGCCAGGAGTTCAGAGTATGTTTTGAGTTCTCAAGAATCACTGTAGGTTTTCAGCTGGCTGGTTCAGAGGTTTTCACTGTCCCTACCTTCAGATGTCTACTAGTTCTTCCAGAAAGACCCAGAAGCTTTGCAATAATGCTTCTTCCATGCTGTCGAAAACTACATACCTGAGGAACTGTGATATCTTTATTCCGATGATTTAAAAAATGCACATATTTCTTACATGAAAAAGGTAGAGTCACACAAAGGATTGCTTTCAGTTGAGGGGTTTTTATTTCCTGCCTATAAATTTATGACATAGCTCAGAGATGACATAAGTCAATAGCTGGTAACATAGTTACAGACTATGGAAAGAGACCTGGCAGAGGATAGTCCTATGCTGCTATTACACCTGGAATGAAACTGGCTTGTGCAGAAATGACTCACATGTGTAGGGGAGATGAGTCTTGGAGAAAAGCTACCTGCATCCTACAAGTGATGTTTTGTAGAAACAGTGCAGCAGTCGTTAAAATATCCTGTTAATTGATTGTGCTCTCTGGCACTAGCAAGAACACTTGGTGCATAGTGAAGTTATATTGGAATTGAGAGTGGCAAATCTTTCTATTCTCTGCTGTTTCTTGGTTTTTTTTACCCTATAACTGGTTTATACATGGTTGCCTTCTACTGCTCTACCCCTCAGCCTCCAGGGCCACGTTTGTGGTTGGTATATGGGCAGGGGATGAGGAATTCTGCTGTAGGCTTCCTGCAGGTGATCAGGGCAACAAGCTCTTCACCCAAATGTCTTTTGATGACATCTGGATGGTAGCTCATTTAGGGAAAAGGCATATAAGGTAGATTTAGATTGGATATTAGGAAGAAATTCTATACTGTGAGGGTGGTGAGGTGCTGGAGCATGTTGCCCAGTTCTGGTGCTCCGTCTCTGGAAGTGTTCAAGGCCAGGTTGGATGGGGCTTTGAGCAACCTGGTCTAGGGAAAGGTGTCCTTAATTGTTTTTCTTTTTAAAAAGTGTAATGAAGGGTAGTATTCATTAAGAATAAGATTTTCCCCTATTGCTTCAATACCTTAATATTGAGCATTATCATATGCATAACAGCATGGTACATATTAACAAAGAAGTTCATACTGAGTCAAATAATTTACATAATTATTAGCAGGTCTCTTTGCTAGTTGTACAACCTTTAAAAAAAAAAAGCAAAACAAAAAAGCTGAAGAATGTAATCTCCTTTTTAAATGCTGCAGAGGCCATTTTATGTTTCTGAGACTTGGGAAATCCTGCTGTCTCTTTATGAGATATATCTAGGGATAATCTAAAACTGGAGTTAATTAGTGCAATGTTTATTCTGATGTTAATATTATTTTTCCACTCATAGCTCCTGTTTGGGTATATCTATTAAAGTGTTATGTGTTACTACACATCAGTTTAGACCTAATTCACCACGTTCCTATTTATCCTTTTGCTTATTGTGTGGGTGTAGCTTCCTTGATTTAAATAGAAGTAGGCTTAATCAAGTGTTTAAGTGTTTACAGGGTACAGTGTTTTTGCTAAAATGTGCCTCTAACATTGTTCCTTTTCCCCAGCTGTCAACCACATATTTGATTTTCTTATCACTTTATTTCAAATTATTTCAGCATAGCTGTCTCAAATATTTTACAGATCATATGTAAATAAAAACATACTTTAGGTAACCTTCTTAAATTGTGGAGCAGACACATCACTAAATGGAGAACAATAAATAAATAAAAAGAAAACCCAGTCAAACATGTTTTTACAAAACCCAGCCAAAGAACTATATCTCCAGCATAGATATAAGGTTCCAAAGTGAGTTGAGGAGGTGGATGATGAGGGACTGAAGGGCTCTGTCCCTGTCTTTGTGCTTTTGAGGATAGCTTTGCCAAGTATGTTTCATTGGGCACTGAGGAAGTTTGTGGGCACTGAATTCTTGCTTACTCCAGAAGACAGGTAGTGGGCTATTGGTAACTGAAAGCTGGTTTTCCCCATTCCTCCCATCATGGTTAAAAATAACTTTTATTTACAATGTTATATTTGGTCCTGGTCAGTCAATGATCTGATGCACCATACAGGCAGACAGACCTTTGCATACTCAACTGAAACATTGCTAAAGGAACAAGATGCAGGAATTACCTAAGCTGCCAAAAGAAGTGAACTTCAGGAACAAAACAGCTTCCTTACTATGGACAGCCATACCATGGCCTTGCCCAAACTGGCATGGCAGGGGCAAGGGGAACCCTCTTCACTTTTGTAGAGCAGGAGTTGCAAGAGGCTACTTTCTCAGCTCTCTGCTGGAGCAGCAGGCTTTTCCCTGGAGACAAGCACCTGGAAGGAGGGGAGGTTGTAGATAAGCTTTCCAGTCCTTAAATTCTCTGGAGTGACTGTCTGGGACCTGCTGCTGTGCTTATCACATCCAGCTCGTCCCAAGGGGCTGTTGACAGGATCCCAGAGCACTTTGTTCACACACTATTGACATTCACGGCGCACTTCACGTTTCCCAAAGCTAATGATCCGGACTGTCTGCAGATGCAGGCAGACATCACTGCTCAGACCTGTGGTGCTGATGAGCTAGTCACAAAAAATCCTGTTTTACCTAGAATGACTAAATACATGTAAGGTTTGTGAAAATTGACCTTTCTTGTTGGATGAGTTTCAGGAAACCATTTTTCACTTAATGACTGGCTTGAATCTAGGCCAAATTGGTAAGTCTGTAAGACTGGACTAAGCAAGTAAGTTTGAACAAATTATTTATTCAGTGAAGATAGCTGCTTTTCCTCACTAGTACATAGTTCATGGACAGACTGTGAAACTCTTTAACTTACTTGTAATTCAAAGTTATTCATACATTTCTTCACATAATAATTCTTGGTCTAAAACTATTTATGAAAAGATTATCAGTGCCTGCCATGAAGAGACATGAAGGAATGGAAATTATGTCTGGTTCAGAAACAGCTTGAAAATGTAGATGGATATGCTCTAACGTGAAGAAACTCTTCACTGTTCAGTGAATGTGGCTGGTTTTCCTCAAATCATTTATTTGACAGACCAGTTTTTCTGGCATTTGACCAACTCCATAATTCATAGAGAATTTCCCTCCCCCCTGCCCATCATTTTCCCAGCTCTGCTGAAAGCCTTGCAGCCAGACAGCTGTTCTGAGTGAAGTGTATATATGGCCTTATATTGGTTCCTAGTAAATAGGTACACTGGTGTGAAACCACACGTGCTACCTTGGGGCCATCTTTGCAGAGGACAAAAGGACATGGACACTTGCCTGTCCACTTTGTAATAGAATTGGCCCCTCTGGTATGAGCTGCAGTTAATAAACATTAGTATAGCAGCATGAACTTTCTGGTGTGAAGGGCAACACCTGTACCTGCTGTGCTGTCAGAACAAAGCTAGCATGCTGTACCTTTTAGCATCCCTGAACTGCTCACAAAGAGAAAGGTAAGGAGGGAAACCTGCTCTTTAAAATTCTAATTCTCTTCTTTGCCCAAATGGGCAAAGCTCATTTGGGCATTGCTCATTGACTCCTTCAGCTCTTCTGCAGAAAAGCTGGCACTGCCTGGGGTTTCTGCTTGGAGTCCTAGACCAGGACATTTATTGAAACCTTTAACTCTCTTTCCTCCAGTGGTAACATAATTCCTTTGGTTAACCCTTTGGTTAACCTCAAACGAAAGAGAGTGATTCCTTTCAACTCCATCATCTCTCCTCCCTTCACTCTCCACTATTCCCTCTTTGCAGCCCTTACCTTGTTCTTTTACCTGCTTCACTTCTTTTTTGGGCTTTGTGATTCATAGCTTTTCTCTTTAATATTTGCTATTTTGAAGAGAGAGATGTCTTTCCTGGCCCCAGTTAGTGCTCTTTCAAGGTTTGGCTTATTCTTTATAATATATCCCATTTTTTCTTTATTTTATATTACAATGGAGCCTCCACCTGGTATTAATAATCACTGAGAGTTCCTACCCAAAGAATTTAAAATGCAGATGGATTAATTCCACAGGTTAAAGAGACCCATCCTCATATACATATACTTATGTTATAAACATACCGTGTTCAAAAACAATAATTAAAATTATTAAAAACATGATTTGGTTGTATCAGGATTATAGGTATTAATATAAATACTAACTTAGAGAATCAACCAGTTAAAAGATTCTTGCTTGCCTGCAGGTTGTTTTTATTCTGGCCTTGCAAGGTTTTTAACCTATCTTCAGTGTTGCAGAGAGGTAACAAAGTCAGCTATCCTGGATCTTATCTTTGATTTAGAATACCTTATTCTTTCTCACTTAGCTCTGCTCTTTTGGTTCTGGTAGCCCTCTACAAAATAGAATAAGTATTTTCATTCAGTTCTGCAG